GTAAAAGGTTATGTCTAATTTGGTGCATCTAACAATCAAGTACTTACTCTCTCCGGTCGACTTTGTTAGGCATTATTGAAGACATAATTGAGTAAATAAAAGTGTGTTCCCTCTAACAACTTTAGGGGTCGTTTTGGTGTGAGGGATAAAAATAAATAATCCTTGGACAAAAAAATAATCCATGGATAAAATTTTGGTTTCTTGTTTGGTTTCCATGTTTGGGATAACTTATCCCACCATTTATACAATAGTGATGGGATAAGTTATCCCATATACATGGTGGGATACTGGGATAACTTGTTCCCAACCAAACTGCCCCAAGTGTTTAGATGAGAGGGTCAGCACTTCAACATGATTTCCCCATTCATGTAATTATAGATTAGCTTTTCTTTTATATTTTTAGAATGTTCCAGAGCATGCAGAGGTCCTGGTTTTGAGTTTCGCCATGATCTATTATAATAAAAGAAATTCCACGTGCTTAGCCCCACAAATGCTATGACACATTTAAAATAGCAAGTTTCAAAACTCTTCCTCTATTAAATTTTGTGCCAAGTCAAACTATGACAAATAAAGTGAGACTGAAGGAGTTGATGTTTTAGAGTCCCTCTGTGTGTGTGCGCAGGTGGGTGGGGGTTTTCTTCCATGCATGTTAGGCTTTCTCCTTGATGATAAATTCTGTAAAATACTGCATTTGATTTAGAAAACTTGAGTTAAAATGCAGGATACGTGCTACTTTCCCCCTCTCTCTCCCGCTTGTTTATAATAAGAAAAATGATGTACACTACTTTAAAGTTCTACGTTTTTCTCCATGGAAAGATTCCTGATTAGTTGTACTCCTCATCGTTGCACTTCACCATACTTTGTTCATATGGTTGTATTGCTTATTCTGTGATGTGATGTGATGTGGGGACAGAGTAAATTAATAGATGGCTCCAATCTACCCAAGACAAATTAGTCTGTAGTGCCAAAAGGTAATGTTTAGTTTTCAGAGGGTATTGCAGACATTTTTTTTTTTTGAGGATAATGTATTGCAGACTTGTGCTCAAAGAGATTTTTTATTTCCATCAAAAAGTATTTTCTGGCCTACCTCAAATCTTTTGTAACAACTAACAACTACAGAATGCCTTAATGGAAAAGCTTCAGTACCTTTTCTATGTCATTTTCTAGGCAGTATTGATTGTATAATACTACATACAGTAATATTGCTCGGACAAGAATTAGAGGAACTTCTTATCATCTGTTCATGAAAACCTCTATTCTTCTAATCATGCAAAAGCATGGCCCGCTAGGATCTTTGATCTTGGTACATTGATGTCAAACACATGGGTGGCTTTTGTGCTTCCTACCTAATTCGTGTGAGAGTGGTGCTGGAAAAAAGTAGGGGAAAAAACATGCTGTACATGTCATAACGCAGCTTGTTTCTCTGGAGTACTATCGCTCTACACTGTACAGATGCCTGGTGTATGTAGGATAGTGAGACAAAGCAAATTCAAAATCATATTTCCTTTTATATAAGGCTTTCAATTTTAGAAGTTAGACGGTTAAGCTAGAATAGTAGTGCAGCAGAATTAACTGGAAGAAGAGGGTAAGATATGAACTGAACCTTTTGTTTGGAAGTCTGGTGATTGGAATGGTAGCAATAAAAGCTGAATGGAGGAGACAAATTACTCTGTTAAAAGGATTTATGTACTAATATATCAGCAGAATTAGGTAATAATCGATTAGTAAGACAAATTTTACTTGCGGCAAAGAAGAAATAGTTCCTCTATATAACAAAAAGAAGGGCCACCCAGATTACGTGGCTACGTCATACTTGTTTCTCAAAAAAAAAAAAAAATTTGGTCATACCTGGGTTTAAATGATATCTACTTATTTGCTGCACTAATAATATTGTTAACATCTGAGTTGTCAGATTTGAATTTAGTTTCTATTTGTGATTTAATAGTATAGCCAAATTGGACTGGCATGATCCATGTGTTAAGTTTCCCGATGTGGGACTTTAACACCTCCCTCATGCCCAGATCTCTTTAACTGGAGCGTGGACAATATAATGTGGGGGCCCTACATCGCTGAACAAAGAATTGGGTTGGACTTGGCTCTAATACCATGATAAGAAATGGATCTTGGCCTAACTCAACCCAAAAGCTAGCTCACGAGGGCCGAGGGGTGGATTGTCCAAAATCATATAAGCAAACCAATTACCCAGATAAATCCTACATCGGTAAAGGATGAAAACCCTGGGCTCCTTATAAGGCTTGGACAATCTTCCCTTTGAGCTGGCTTTTGGAGTTGAGTTAGACCCAAGGTAATTGGTATTCGACGGTGTAAGCTAATAGAACATTATTTACCCCATTAAACCTGTTTGTCCAGTTAATAGAAAAGGAATTTGAAGGATTGGAAGCTTGATGACCTACTCAACTTACTTTAAGGACTTGGTAACTGCACAAACAATAAACAAATTTCAGACAGACTAAGATGGGGCAATAAAGCTGATAGTCTATACTCTGTAGAAGCAGAATGTTCATCCTTTTGTGCCCAAAATGAGATGGTGCATAATTGGCTATGGAAACTAATCTGGAAAAGACAATTACCCTCAATAATGATTTGTTTCAACTGGACGATACTTTATGAAGCATGTTTGAGTCACGACAATCTCAGCTGAGGAACATACATATTGTCAACAGATGCTATATGTATCAACAAAGCATAGAAATGGGACATGGTCATTTCAGTTTTTGCACTTAGTTGGGTCATGCCTGTGGACGTCTGAATATCATTGATGCCTTTATATGCTAGAGTTCCTGGAAAGTTGGTTGGTCCATGAGGAAAATCAGGAAAAAGGTTCCTGCCTGTATTTTGGTGTGTCTAGATAGAAAGGAACCATAGGTATTTTGATGGTATCAACTCCAACTCACTCTCTCAAGGCTAAATGTCTTTTATGTTTATATAGTTAGAGTAATTTTTGCAATTTTTGCCCTTATAAATTCACGTGACACCTTTTTGGACTTTGTGAGCTCCGTATCTTTAGTATAGGCCATAGGAATATAGCTAAACAAATTCACTTCTTGTACTATTTTCATCTTCTTGAGTTATCTTAATGTTGTGTTACAACAAGAATGTTCAACTTTTCAGTAAAGTAGAATTGAAGTCAGGCAGTGTGGCTGCATGTTGCGCGACATGTTGCTTAGAGCTAGCTCACCTTTTGGTCCCTCTACTAACAGACCAAAAAGCTTGTGCCAGTTAGTTGAAGGTTAAATATGCTTAGTGGGATTTAGGAGGTCAGTGTTGAAGTTGTGTAAGTTGAAGGACAAAGTGCAAGTTGCTCCTCCTCTTCTGCTGTGTCTTATTCTTCTTCTTCTCATCCTCTTTAATTCTTTTTATTTTATTTTATTAAATTATTGATTCTAAACATCATATACCTAATTGCTATGTTGGAAAACTATAGATTGCTGTAGTATAGAGGTCTCACATTTATTTTGGTTTTTCAATCTGGATGAAAATTCAGTTATTTGATGTTTTTGCATAATGATTTTTCACAAATTGTTGATTGACGGATATTATTCTTGTGAACTGACTGAACTCATAGAATGTTTGGAATATGAAGAAGATCAGGGCCTCGTGTGTTTACCTTGTTGCTTCAGGAGTTAACTTGGATACAAATATTCTTTTGTTTTGTTCTCTGCTTGATTTTCAAATTTGTCAATTCAGAAGACTCTGTTTGTGTTCACTATAGGTGGCGGAGAGGGCTTTATTCTTGTGGAATAACGATCATATTGAGAATTTGATAAAGCAACACCGAAAAGTGATACTTCCTATCATCTTTCCTGCACTGGAGAGAAATGCCAGAAACCATTGGAATCAGGCTGTTCACAGTTTGTCACTGAATATCCGGAAGATATTCTATGATCTTGATCCTGAGCTATTCAAGGAGTGCTTGCACAAGTTTCAAGAAGATGAATTGAAGGAAGATGAGATTAAATCAAAACGTGAAGCTACATGGAAACGATTAGAAGAACTTGCTGCCAAAAATACTACAAGTAATGAAGCTGTGCTTGTGCCATCCTCCGGGCATTCTCGAACTTAATATTAAGATATGCTTGTTCTTCCTTGTTTTAAATTTTCATAATTCTAGTTAAATTTACATTTTGGAAGCAATGAATTTATCAAGGGGAAAAGGGATTTTCTGTGTCATTGCCTTTTTTTCCCTGGTCAGTTTCATCCTGATAGCTGTAGTTGTAACTATAATTTGTTTATATGTGTTAACTTTGGCAATTTGGAAATGATATGGGAGCAAGTAATTTTTATCAAAATTATACTTTGTTGAACGTATTTACTTTCATTCTTTTGGTTAACTTTGCAAATACCACTCTTCAATAAATGCTTTAATTCTTAAGATGAGGTATAGATTATAGGATGTTGTAAGTTTGGCATTTTGCTCAAGAGACTCTTTCCATATATTCCAAATAGAGAAGCTACAAAAGCTGATAGGGAATAGTAGTTAAGTTGCTTATGTTTGGTCTAACTAGAATATTACAAAGTTAAATCGGTAATCGCTAGAATGGACTTTGCAGGTTGTAACTAGTCATTTAGCAAGGCTGTAACTTATGGCATCAAAGTTTAACTTATTTGTTTGTTTGTTTGTTTCTCATTTGGCTTTCTGTGGAACTGAAGGATCTAGCAAATAGTTGTGAACAAAGAAATGCTGAATGTGGCGGCTCTCGTAATTTCTTCGTGTACTTAGGAACTAAACTTTGTCAGGGTAGTCCATTTGTAAGCATTAGCTGGCTATAGGAGAAATGAACCAAAAGCTACATGATGCTTTCAATCAAAACAATAATATACTACTAAGTACTAACTACAAAAGAACAAATCCTAATAACAAAAATAAAAATTTGAAGGTATAATCCAGATAGTATATGGAAGATGGTTGATGGAGTCGAAAACAATTTAAGATACAAACTTCCAATATTATAACATGTCAAAAGACGAAAATTTTAGGATCAGTCACTACACCAAGAAAGCAATTCCTTGTCAGCTTCAAATATAGCCATGTCTTCTTCTTTGAGACTTACCCAGGCTTCTATGCCATTACCTGACTTTGTGTCTAGAAAACCAATAACATCCTTGAGAACAAGTCTAGCCGATCCTACCCATATCGGTTTTCCCCAACCAAAATCAGCTTTGTATAAAGGCAATCGACACAAACTAGTGAAGTTGAACATGACTAGCTCCCCTTTCCTCTGCTCATTTGCTTTCTCTTTGATGAAACTCAAGTGTTTTTGATCGTTCTTCTGGAGACCTGAGACAAATTCACTGTTTACGTTGTTTATACTTTCTCTCACTTTTTTCACTAGCTCAAAATCTTGTTCCTCATTAGTACTATTATTATTATTCGTAGCTGGTACTGTAATGATTACTTGCATTACATTCCCGAATAAAGATTCAGGCAATGGAGGATTACTTCTGGTACGTAAGTTCACCGTATGAACCATGCCATATATCTTAGTTTCATCTCTTTCAGCATGAATACTTGCCATCAAACGTGTCCATAAGAAAGCTGATAAAGCTTCAATCCTCGAGGGAGGTTTCGTACTTTCACTGCCCTTTTCAGTATACTTATCTCTGAGTGCTGATACTTTAGAGGCAGAGAATACAAACCTCTTAGTCACAATGTTGTCTTTCTCAATCATGACACTTGATTTGAACTTTGTTATATCTCTTGGTGGAAATAGTATGGAAGAATGAAATCTTGGACAAGGTACGTCGATACTCCCTCTTGCAATAGCTCCCCAGGTATTGATAAACATGAACGTGGACAATGCATCAGTTATCTTATGAGAAATGGCTATACCAATAGCCGTTCCTCCACATTGAAAGAAGTTTGCTTGGACTAGTAAGCAAAAGTCTTTAACATCATGTAAATCACAAGGGATGAACTTGTTAAGTTCGTTAGGAAGTGGATCAAGAAGGAACTCTGAGAGACTGCATTTGGCTATGGCTTCTACATATGGAACGCCCTCATCGTTGCAGTTGACGTGGGAGTTGGCTACGTCTAGACGTCCTCCAAGAGGGTAGAATTTTGTCAAGGTATGTGATAAAGATGTCTTAAGTTGGTTTGATGTGTGTGTGTTAGTGAAGTTATTGTTTGCTGGATAGAAAAACACAAGGGGCATCAGAATATTTGGAGTAATTTGATCAAGATATGAAAGTTTGTAATTGTGAAGTTCATGTGGGGTTGGTGAAGATGGTTTGATTATCAATTTGGAGATGATTTCTATCTCAATTTTCATACTTCCAAAATGTTTACTAGTAGTGTTTTTCTCTTTGATGAAATGACACTGATTCTGATGACAATAAATAGACCAAAAACTTAGTTAGCTATAAAGTATAAAATGAAATATAATTGAAAAAAAATATATAAAAAAATGCAATGTGTCTTCTAGTTTTTAGAATGTTGCTCATATGGCCGACTTGTCACTAAAGAGATTATTATCATGACTTGAATAGGAAACTACCACTACTATAAAATCACTATTTTCTTGACCGAATTCTCACAAAATACTCATAGATATTTCGATTGAATCAATGAGAAAAAAAAATGTTCAATGGCTATTCTCAATATTTAAATGAAAATTTATTTTCACCATGCATTTTCACAGTGAGCTAGCTGATTCTATGAAAATAGGTGGGAAAATTATATTTTACGGTACAAACTTATCATCGATTCGCGATGGTAAAGAAAATTTATGTTTCTAGCGGTGGAATACTTCAACTTAGTATAAAAACCTTGGTAGGTAAAAAAAGTACACAAGATTTAATGACATGCCAAATATAAAAAAAAACATATTTTATTTATGAATTGAGTAGATACATTTAACTTATATTTTATTTCTGATTAAATATTTGAGAATTCTAAAATTTTGTGCGTCATTCCTAGGATTACAAGGAAGAATTATGCCTCCATTTTTACTAAAATTTTGTGCGAAATTGTGCCTCTGCCTTTTGCTAGTAAATTGCATTACTGAATTTGCCTTCCATTTTTACTTGAAAATGCGAACGTTTGCCCTTTGAGACTAACGCACACGTCGTTACAGACACCCACACCATTAATAAGATCGTCACGTATGCTCACAAAAAGTTTCGGCTAAAAACCCGTCGGTATTACATATCACCAAAAATCTATGGATTATAACACACGTAAAACAAAAAAATCGGTATTGCTCTGGACCTCGTTTGAACTTGAAAATGTGGACGTGGCACACACCATTAATAAGATCGTCACGGATGCCAACAAAAAATTTCAGCCAAAAACCCGTCGGGATCACATATCACCAAAAATCCATGGACTATTAACACACGTAAAATGAAAAATTTGGTATTTCTTGCTCTGGACCTCGTTTGAACTTGAAAATGCGAATGTTTGCCCCTCGGGACCAACATACACCATTTCGTCATGGATGCCCACAAAACATTTCAGCGAAAAATCCATCGGGATCACATATCACCCAAAATTCGGGAGTCAGGTGAAAGAAAGAAGATTGAAGGAGAAAGAGTAAGTTTTATCCCTACTACTGGAAAACCTACAGAAGTAAGGTGTCAATTTCAAAGAAATCTTATTGAATTATACTTTAGGTGAGTAAATCGGGTTTTGCAAGTGCCTTATGGAAACAATGGAGGTCAAGACAAAGAAGGCTAGGGTGACATTCATAAGCAAGTAATGTAGAACCCATCACACACTTATAAGGTGGTGTCTGGGTATGCTTGCCAGTTCAGGTTAAACATTTTGTGCCTTGTAAACTTTATCCCCTAGTGGTTAGACCCTTCACTGAGTAGCTCTGCTAAGAGAGAATATTAAGAGGTGTTGCAAAAATGTTGACAGTCTAAAACATGTATCAAAGAAGCTTTTAGGTTATAGATGCAATAATTAATTTGCAATTATAATTATTAATAATCTTTTGCATTGAAAAGAAAATAAGTATAATTTTTTTTCACATTAAATAGCGACGGAATATGATTTGTCTCTAATCAATGTTTTCTCTGTAGTGACACTATATATAATATTAGAACAAAAAATTACCTAAATACCTTGTGTGACTATTATTCTATATAAATAAAAATATAATAAGATAAAAAAGCAAAACAAATTATGGAGTTGACCGAATAGATATCGAAAAAACACCCATGATCAAAAATTTTTTTGCGTTAAACATATATCCGAGGCAAAAGTTACGATCGTTTGAAGTTTCACCAAATTAGAGATTGAAACTTGAAAAAGTAGTTGTAAATTGGTGAAACTTCAAACGGTCATAACTTTGGCCTCGGAAGTCCTTTTCAGGCGATTTTTTTTTGAATTTGGTATTTTTTCAATATCTATGCGCGGTTTGACCCAACCAATTTTTTGAAAGACGTCTTTTAACACATTCAATTTTGAATTTCCCTCAATTTTGAAGAAAATTGTAATTCTTTATTGCTAAGAATCTGATAAAAGAAAATTGATTTTTGAGTTCGAAATACTTTGATAATGTATATATGAATGTCAATTTTAATGTCAGATAATCAATTTTATTATAAACAACTTTTATCCCGTTCAATTTTAAATTTCCCCCAATTTTACACAAGGATTTTTGTTCCTTAAATAGGTATGTGAAAAAGATTTGATTAAACAAAATAGTTTTGGAGATGAAAATACCATTTTAATACATAAGTGAAGTCCATATTAATACCAGGCTTTTGACCGAGCTAATTTTTTGAAACACAGCTTTTAACCCATCCAATTTTGAATTTCCCCCAATTTTGTAGAAAATTGTAATCCTTTTTTGCTAAGAATCTGATAAAACATAATTGATTTTTGAGTTCAAAATACTTTGGTAAATTATATGTGAAAGTCAATTTTACATAAGATTTTTTTGATCCTTTATACAAAAAGATTTGATGAATGAAAATTAATTTTGAGTTTGAAATACCTTTTTAGAAAGCGCTTTGTGGCTCGTTTGACCTTGAAAATGGGCCGGTTTGGCCGTCAGGGACAACCGGCTCCATAGCTAGGGTATTAAAGGATGTCCATGAAAATTTTTGGCATTTTTTACGTTGGAATTCTAGATACCAAAAAATCCATGGACAACACACGAAAATTGGCAAAATGGGGGTTATGCCTGCTCCGAGGCTCGTTTGACCTTGAATGTGCAAAGTTGGTTGTCATGGCCAACCATCTCCATAGCTAAGGTCTTAACGGACGTCCATGAAATTTTTTGACATTTTACGTAGAAATTTCGGATCACCAAAAAATTTATGGACTATAGCACACAAAAATCGACAAAATAGGGGGCGGTATGCTTGCTATGGGGCCCCTTTGACCTTGAAAATGGGCCGATTTGTTCGTCAGGGCCAACCCAATTCATAGCTAAGGTCTTAACGGACGTCCATGAAAAATTTTGACATTTTTTTACGTCAGAATTCCAAATCACCAAAAAATTCATGGACTATAGCACACGAAAATCGACAAAATGGGGGGGGGAGGGTATGCCTGCTCCAGGGCTCGTTTGACCTTGAAAATGGGCCGGTTTGGATGTTAGGGACAACTGGCTCCATAGCTAAGGTATTAATGAACGTCCATGAATTTTTTTGGCATTTTTGATGTCGAAATTCCAAATCACCAAAAAGTCCATAGACTATAGCATACGAAAATCGGCAAAATAGGGGATATGCCTTCTCCAGGGCTCGTTTGACCTTGAAAATGGGCCGGTTTGGCCGTCAGGGCCAACCAACTCCATAGCTAAGGTATTAACGGACGTCCATTAAAAATTTCAACATTTTTAACGTCGAAATTCTAGATCACCAAAATATCCACGGACTATAGCACACAAAAATCGGCAAAATGGGGTTATGCCTGCTTTGGGGATCGTTTGACCTTGAAAATGGGCCGATTTGGTCGTCAGGGCTAACCGACTCCATAACTAAGGTCTTAACGAACGTCAATGAAAATTTTAGCATTTTTGATGTCGAAATTCCGGATCACCAAAAAATTTATGGACTAAAGTAAATGAAAATCGGTAAAATGGGGGGAATGCATGCTCCGGGGATCGTTTGACCTTTAAAATGGACCGGTTTGGCTGTCAGGGCCAATCGACTCCATAGCTAAAGTGTTAACGAATGTCTATGAAATTTTTTGGCATTTTTGACGTCGAAATCTCGGATCACCAAAAAATCTATGGACAACAGCACACGAAAATTGGCAAAATGGGGGGGGGGGGTATTCCTACTCCGAGGCTCGTCTGACCGTGAAAATAGGCCGATTTGGTTGTAAGGACCAATCGACTCCATATCTAAGGTCGTAACGGACGTCCATAATTTTTTTTGGAATTTTTGATGTTAGAATTTCGAATCACCAAAACATCCATGGACTATAACACACGAAAATTGGAAAAATGGGGGGTATGCCTGCTACTGGGTTCGTTTGACCTTGAAAATGGGTCGATTAAGCCGTCAAGGGCTCAGGGCCAGCCGACTCCATATCTAAGGTCTTAACGGACATCCATGAAAAATTTTAATATTTTTGACGTCGAAATTCTGGATCACCAAAAAATTCATGGACTATGACACACGCAAATTGGCAAAATGAGGGGTTTACCTTCTCCAGGGCTCATTTGACCTTGAAAATGGGCCGGTTTTTCCCTCAGGGCCAACCAGCTCCATAGCTAAGGTCATAACAGACGTCCATTAAAAATTTTGGCATTTTGGACATTGGAATTATAGATCACCAAAAAATCTATGGACAGTAGGACACAAAAATCGGCAAAATGGGGGGTATGCCTGCTCCGGGGTTTGTTTAACCTTGAAAGTGGGCCAGTTTGGTCATCAGGACCAACCGGCTTCATAGCTAAGGTGTGAACGGACGTCCATGAAAAATTTCAGCATTTTTGACGTCGAAATTTTGGATCACTAAAAAATCCATGGATTATAACACACGAAAATCAGCAAAATGGGGGGTATGCATGCTCTGGGGTCTTTTGACCTTGAAAATGGATTGGTTTGGCCGTCAGGGATAACCGGCTACATAGCTAAGGTTTTAACGGACGTCGATGAAAAATTTCAGCATTTCTAACGTCAAAATTTTGGATCACCAAAATATCTATGGACTATATAGCACACGAAAATCAACAAAATTGGGGGTATT